ATAATTTTAAACCCTGTTTTTTCTGCCCTGGGAATCGAAAAGCAAACTTGTTCACATGTAAACTTGCCCTTAGGCTATCAAAAGGTATAGCCATTCAAGTGTAAATAAACACATTGTCCAAAGATAGCTGCTGGCTGGAATTGGATTACCTGCTCTGGGTGGGAAGGGCTTGTCCTCCACTTTCTCCATTAAAATTAAGGTGTTAGTTTTAAAACCTCTTTTCGGCAAGAGACCCCAAACCCTCAGAACTTTAAATTTTTCAGATAGTAAATCAGTTACTTAGCATTTTCTCAAATCAATAATACCTCCACATGCCCAAGGATACACTTCACACAAAAGACACTTCCAAATAGATCAACCAACCTCATCCAGACCCCACACAAGGCACTCACAGATCAATACCCCAGCGCTATACCAACTCAACACATCCAGATCTAAGCCTTCCTCATTTGATTCAGCAGACCCTCAAGTTCCCCCAAAAGTTTCCAGCCATGTCTGAGAGGCAGCCTTGGGGCAGAGACAGGTGAGGAGCAAGCTGTTCCGGGCCTGGCCTCCGTCGCTCTGATCCGCTCCACAACCAGCTGCTCCTGGTCTGGCCACTGCCGCTCCCGGCCTGGCTGCTGCTGCTCCGGGCCTGGCTGCTCCCGACCCGGCTGCTCTGGACCCGGCTGCTCCAGGCCCGGCAGCTCCGGGCCTGGTTGCTCCTGGCCTGGCAGCTGCTGCTCTGGGCCTGGCGGCTCCGGGCCTGGCTTCTCCCAACCTGGCTGCTCCGGGCCCGGCCGCTCTGGGCCTGGCCGCTCACAGCCTGGATGCTGCTGCTCTGGGCCTGGCTGCCTGAGAGCCTAATTTTTTAAACTTAAAACTTCTTCTAACGCCACTTCTTCAAAATAGATTCACCCAGGCCGTGGCATTTTGTGTAAGAGCCACACTCAAGGGGCCAAAGAGCCGCATGTGACTCATGAGCCAAGCCGCAGTTTGCCGACCACGGGACTAGAGGAACTCACGCACCTTCTGCTTAGCCCCCCCCCCAGCATTCCCACGGTGTAAGGTGCTTTCTTGGGGAAGTGTGTTCTTTAATGTGGATTTTTTATTTATTTATTTATTTAGAAATGAAAAGATTTCTCTCTTAATATGTTTTATCACCCTCGCCGGTTTGGGTCAGTGGTTACAGTGTCGGCTCTTGGACTGAAGGCTCACAGGTTTGATTCTGCTCAAGGGCACTTACCTGGGTTGCAGGCTCGATCCCTGGCCCCACAGTGGGGCACCTGCAGGAAAAACCAATGTGTCTCTCTTACATCGATGTTTCTCTGTCTCCCCCTCATCCCCCCAACTCTCTCTAAAAATCAATGGGGGGGGGGGGAATGTTCTCGGGTGAGGATTAACAAAAAAATGTTTTTTAATATTTATCAAGAGAAGATGATGGGTTTGTAGTGATTTTCCTGTTCACAAATGGAGATTAGACTTACAAAAAGAGGCATCTGTGGTTGATGACAGTATCAGCGTAAGGAACAGGTCGGTGCGTTGGTTAACCATTACAGTACACAGAACACAATGGCAAGAAAGTATATTTCCGTGTATCTATCACCGGCCACTTGTACTTTAAAATGACATTTAGCGTAACCCCTGGGTGGGAGGGGGAGACCTGTGAGTAGTGGGCAGTGCAGCAGGGGCGAGGCTGGCAGACCATGTCTAGGTTCACACAGCTGTTCTGCCCTTTTCTCAATTGTGGGGCTGCCTTGTCCCCTCCCTAGGTGACGTCCAATGTCCCTCCATTGCCACAATTCTGTTATTACAGTCACTTATTAATGTTCATGTCTCAGGCTTCCCTCGAGTGACTCGTCAGAATGTCAGGAAAACCCAAGACATTTGATTTCCAGAGTTTAGACTAATGCCTGCTTAGTCAGCTGAACTTAATCCTGTTTGGGACAAAGAGAGACATAAATAAGGTAAGCTGACAACTGCAGGTATGCCAGAAACCAAAATTGCGTTTTGAACAGAAGGCAATAAGGTACGGTTTCCAATTGCAAAAGGTCAATGCGTTTCCTGCTGCCAGCGTCCAGAACTTGACAGGCATCGTTGCGGTCATCCCAGCAACTCGTACTAATAGGAGTAACTGTCCAATCTAAGGGGGCGTAAGAAATACAGAATAGCATCAATAAGAGTGACCATTGAGAATAAGAAGATAAAATGAAAGATGACGCTATAAAATAAACCAGGAGTGAGGTTCTAACACCAACCACCAGGAAGACCTATACTACAGCTGCTTTTGATAGTTTGGCATGAAGCTTTTGGCCATCTAATGTGAAAGAGGAATTCTGCCCGGTCGATTACATAATTCACACAGAACGTAAGATGAGAGCAAAGCTCAGCAGAAATGTGGTTTGTAGTTGCAAGAAGCACAAGTTCCTCCTCAAGGGTCTTCAAAGGGATAAGGTGACAACGTAATGCTGAGTACTTGTGTACAAAGAGTCCTACGGGGTGCACAGTGGACAGAGAGGGCAGTAAAACTTGACTAAGTTCCTGCTCTCGTGAACTTAAAGTTAAAGAGACAAATGAAAAACAAAATACCTGCTTATGCTTATGGTAAACAATAAGGAAATGGGACAGAAGTGGGCAGTCAGATATGGTTAACAATGGAAGCTTTTCTGATCATGCCAGGGGTTTGAGCTTGAATTTTAAAGATTAGTAATATTGGGAGGATGTGGGGAATGTACATTATAGAAAGAGGAAAAGATAAGTATTTAGGAACAAGAGTAGAAATTTAAATAATATGCTGCTGAGACAGCAGCAGGTGAGGTTCTGGATGGTTCCACCGCCAGACAGCGGGGATAAGAAAAAGAAAACTTACCGTTGGGAATAGAGCTTCAATCTCAAAAACCTGTTTCTCTGTACGCCCTAGCTTTGACCTTGGACAAAGTACTTATCCCTCCCTGTGTCAGTTCCCTCATCTTATAAAAAGGGGGGAAAGGAAGTGGGGCTGGGGGGAACATAAGGATGAAATGAATGAAATGAATTGAGGCATGGAATGTGACTTGTGTAACTGGGAGATATAAGCACCAAGTTATTATCACTTTTAAATCCACAAGCAATTCACCCAAATTAGTTTCAGAGCAATTATAAGGCAAACATGTAAACTTGATATAACTATTAAACCACATCTGAAAAGAACCTCTTTGTTTTCTAAACAAATTGCAACTCGTTTTTAAAAAAAAAGCAAACCTTAAAACAAAACAAAACAAAAAGAAACAAAAAAACACCTTAAAAGAAAAACTATGATAAACTGAAAACTGGATTGTGACTAAGAGATTTTATATACATTTATTTGTAATGTCGCTAAATTCTGAGGCAGAGAATAAAATACAAAGAAATCAGGACTTAAAAGGAAACATAAAAGTGCAACATATGTACATATATATTTAGCCAATTTGCATATCTGTTTCGATTTGCAAACAAATGGAAAGCTAGTTCCACAGCTTTCATTATGAACATATTTTGAGTTCTAGTGTTCTAGTGCTCTCTGTTCTAAAATCCAGTTTTTATTGTATTTATATCAAGTAAGGTTTATTTTGTTATCTAATCTAAAAGCAGGACTCTGTGAGCTGGTACTGAAGCAGACAGATAAATCAGGCATTTTAAAACAGCTCTTTAAGGGAGGAAAGAGACACAACAAAGGGAGGATAATGCCTCCTCAATCTTAGATATGTAAATACAAAAAAAGCAAATAGCAAGAAGCAACAAGAATCATAGAAATGCCAATTCTATTCTAAACTAAAAGCTGTAATTCAAGCAACAATTCAATTAGCAGTAGCTTAGAAGTCTTTGTTCTAAAAAAGTAGAACCGTTAGTTCTTTCATTATAGTTTTCTAACTATGCCCAATGAACAATTATCAGTCTTCATATTCTTTTTTAATAGCCCAAGAACATTTTCTTTAATATATTTTATTGATTTTTCACAGAGAGGAAGAGAGAGGGATAGAGAGTTAGAAACATCGATGAGAGAGAGTCATCGATGAGCTGCCTCTTGCACACCCCCTACTGGGGATGTACCCACAACCAATATACATGCCCTTGACCGGAATTGAACCTGGGACCTTTCAGTCCAACGCTCTATCGACTGAGCCAAACCGGTGCCGGCCCAAGGACATTTTTTATACATAACAGAATACATTAACAAAAGAGGCCTTCAAACATACTGCTGAAAGCTTCAATATAGTTTAGGAGCCAAATTTCAATTTACATAATATTAACACTCATAAAACATTTATGACACCCAGTACCATCGTGTTCAGCTGTTAAGCCAGAAATACTCCATCTGTCTTGCCTCTGGAGAATTACTGACATGGCTGAAATTGTTATGACAATCCTACAGAGCCCCTACAAGGGCTACACATAAAATGAAATAAATATGAACTACAATACAATTGTGATAACATGGCAAGCTTACAGAACTGAATTTTCCACTATCGTAATAGCACTAAAAAATTACAATGACCATTAAATATCAGAGTTATTTTTCCCTGCTAACTACTGAACAGAAAAAGTTCTCTGACTATATTTTTGATGAACAGATTATCCTTGAAATAAACTCCAGGGGAAGTTGAAAAGTGAACAAAATAAACCCCTCAAGTTCATTTGCCACACATATTAACAACAAGCAAAATACTTAAAAAAAAAAAAAAAAAAAAAAAAAAAAAAAAAAACCCACACAAAATTATCCTAAAAACAAATAAATATAAGATCAAATTAATAATTTCAAAAGTTCTATTTGGTTTGTGACTAAACTTGAAAGTACTAAAATAAACCAAACAGACTCATCAATACTGACTTACCATGCGGAATTTGAAAAAAGCACTTCAAGTTTTAAGCTGAATGTTTCGTTCTCTCCTCTATTCCAGGACTATAAATAAAAAGAGGAAAGGGGCTTTTGCAAAAAGAAACAAACAAAAACGAAACAAAACCGCCAGCCAAAACTAGCCCCACAAGGAAACCTTTCTTCTCTCTGAACATGTCACTGGAGTTGGTCCTATGTTGGGATGAGGTTTCTATAGCAGGGACCTCCCTTATCTTTCTTTCTTTAGTCATTTCCATGTTTTACCGCACATTGCTGTGTGTTCCTAAGAAGTCAGGTTGAGTCACGGGTAGCTTTAGGATGCAGTATCCTGACTACAGTATGCAGTCAGTTCAAATGAACGTGGCAGTTGAAAGGATTACAATATGTGAAAACGCAAAGAGAAAACGATGTACAGACCTCACTGCCTTGCACTAAGAGGACAATTTGGAGAAACTGAGAAACACTGAAGCCAGGAAACAGGCATGTGCCGCACCTTCCACGGGCTCCTTCAATGCACCAGCTCTGGCTGGTTTTCCACGAAGGGCAGCACCCCGCTCACATAGTAGGCAATACCGAGAGACAGCAGAGCAATGACAAAGATCAAGAGCAAAACCCTCCAGAAGCCCAGATCCTCTACAAACTCCTGCCACGTGGTTCGGAAGCTGGACAGGACGCCTTCACCTTGCTGTAGGTTGGGGTTGAGGAGGGAATGGCTTTCCATGGCGCTGTGAAGACAGAGAAAAAAGAAATAGGCGTGAAACGACACATTTCACCCATTTCAAAAACATAAAAGTAATAGAAACCATTATTTAGAAAAGAACAACTTCACAACACAATTCTCACAAGCAGAAAACTGATGTATGTACGTACACATCTCACACACCCATGTACTGATTTATGTATTTGGACAAGCTACCTTGAACTCTAAGTTGCTAAACTACAATAATTATGCTTCCTGGATTTGTATCTAGCAGAGTCCAAGTTAAAAGTCCTTTTCTAATAAAAAGTCCCAAGCAGGGGTCTTTAAGTAGATCAAAAGAGTTGTTTCCATTAGATACTAAACCAAATTTATTTTAAATTTAGAAGAATTCAAAACGAAGATTCATAATTTGAGAATTTGTGTTAATGAAAATAAGCAAAGATGGGAAAATCTAAAAAATCATTTAATACAGTGTGTGAAACTTCAAGTTAAAAGAGAATTATTATTTACTTTAATAATCTGATCAATGAAGGAATTTTTTCTTTTATCTGTAATTCTCTAATAATAGAAACTTACTTTTCAATCTGTTACTGCTAATTGAACAAATCTACTCATTAGGAATTCTTTTTTAATAGTTTCCTCCCACTGGTTTTAGTTTTACAATAATCCTATATAATAAAAGGCTAATATGCAAATCAATTGAAGGTGGCAGAACGACCAGCCGCTATGACACATACTGACCAACAGGGGGCCGACACAACTCAGGAGCTGCCCCCTGGTGGTTAGTGTGCTCTCACAGGGGGGGGGGGGGGGGGGGGGGGGGAGGTGCCGCTCAGCCAGAGCCCTGAGCTGGTTCATGGCTGGTGAGCACAGTGGTGATGGCAGGAGCCTCTCCCACTACCTGGCATGCTAAGGATGTCCGATTGACACGACTATTATAAGCCGTCAGTCAGACATCCCCTAAGGGCTCCCAGACTGTGAGAGGGTGTAGGCTGGGCTGAGGGACCTCCCCCGCACCCCCGCATGAATTTCATGCACCAGGCCTCTAGTACAAAATAAGATTATTTCTCTTCTGCATAATGGCTGAACCCAGTTGAAACAAGGTAGTACAAACACCATAAAAGCATTGACTCTGGCTTTTAGAACTCTATCAAGGAGAAATATGACTGCTATAAACAGAAAACAGTATATCTGACTTCCGTACCTGAACGCCCGCACTATGATGAGTTCAAAGCTCAAAGGGATTAGCATCCACAATTATGTCACAACACGAGGCTGAACAGCAGGCTATCATTTAGATTAAAGCCACAATGACCATAATCATATGTTTCAACTATCTATTGCTTAGAAAAATCATTACTACCCCCTCTAAACCCTTTCATATTCTTCCAACCACCTGGGTACAAAACAATGCAAACAACATAAAACAGTGTCTTCAAGTCTGGTTCACTATATAAAATTAGCAGGTTTTTTTTTTTTTGTTTTTAATCTACAGCTTCATTTTACTTCTTGACACTGTCAACCAGAGTCCTGCAGCCTTTCCTACTAGAGGCCTTCTCTCATCACGGGAAGTTGACTCCCTACTGAGCCAGTGTGCTTGACATTCACAATTTTTCATATTAAAAGATGTTTATTCTCTGATTCCAAGAAGACATTTTTAGTAGGAATTTACAATACAAAAATCTAGGAAAACTGAAGCAAGTTAAAAATAAGATTAGAATGCTAAGAAAGTTTAAATATGTAAAACCATAAAGAGATAAAGAAGGTCAGAAGTTAATGTTGACATAAAATTTACTGATTATACCTGAGCTGATTTGCTCTCATACTCCAAGAATTCATTGAGCCTTCTCCTGGAGCTCATTACACTCTGCCCATCAGAATTTTCTAGTGACTCTATTCAACGAAATGTTTCTACTGTCTTTGGAATACCCACTTCTAGCATGTCTGTGTGTGTGCATGTGAATTTTTGGGTACATTTGTCACCTACACTGTCTTAGTCAACCTGTACTACCAAAAAGGAACTTTTCTTTGAGACTTAGTTCTACTGTAGTCTAACACTAGGTGTTAAAGGACAATATACCTTCAACAGTCCTAAGCTTCAGAGTGAAATTAATGGTCCAAATGAATATAATACCAGCCAGCACATGAATAGGGAGGAAAACAATCATATGGACAAAGGAACTGCAGGGTGAACTATGCAAAATAGAGAGGATTCCACGTAGAACTCAAAGAAACAATGATTCGGATGGTCCAGGTCCGTGGTCAGCAAACTGCGGCTCATGAGGCACATGCAACTCTTTGGCCCCTTGAGTGTGGCTCTTCTACAAAATATCATGGCCTGGGCAAGTCTCTTTTGAAGAAGTGGCATTAGAAGAAGTTTAAGTTTAAAAAATTTGGCTCTCAAAAGAAATTTCAATCATTGTGCTGGTGATATTTGGCTCTGTTGACTAGTGAGTATGCCAACCACTGGTCTAAGTGGTCTATATCATACTAAATCCACATCTGATCACTCAGCTACTGGGTCAATACCTGATAAGGGCCCGTAAAATACATTCCACTGAACATTTTAGGGGGAGACTATCATAAGCCCCTAGTCCTTCTTACCTGGTAATATCTAGAAGGCTTACACTCCCCGGTGGTCAATGAAACTACGTGCTAGCACAAAAACATCTGGCTCACTGACTATCTGTTGAGCCAGTGAGGCCAGGAGAAAAAATGGTTTGTTACCTTTTCAGCGCCCCCTGAACTGTGTTCTGAGCTGCTTCTGGATGAGAGATTCTGAGAGACTGAAGACCCAGTCAGTCACTGCCTTTGCTTCAATTACTCACAGGAGCCCAAGTTTTATTTGTTCCAACTCATGGAAAAGTCACTTTCACTTTCACATTATAGAATTGTGTACATGTTAAATTTATCTCCTTTCCTTCTGCTTTCCTTTTCCTCAGCAGCCCACTTTCCTGCCCTTAAAACTACCTTTTGGTCTTTTCTAGTACTGTCCAAGTTCTTAGCCTTACTTACTCTTCTCTCCCTTTCTGACACCCCATTCCTTCTGTGGCTGTTCTAAAACCCTCAAACCCCGCTCGCTCCCTTCACCTTCAGTTCTAGCCACCTCTGCTCCCTGGCACTGCGCTGCAGCAGGTTCCCTTGCACAGAAAGTTATTGCCTGGGACACACAGTGCTTTCTGTTAACAGCTTCTCAACTGCTATCGGGAGCCACAGGGACGCATAGAGAATTCAAAGGAAGTATCAAAGCTCTGTACTTGAAAGCAAATAAATAGAAAACTTACAAAGTTGTCATAAAGATCCAGGGACTTAAAGTGACTTGCCCATTAAAAAATTGTATCTTCAGTACCTTTCACTCTCAGCTGTCTGCATGGTCTCCAGTTTTGAATGGGTTCCTCTGTTAAATCCTTTTACTTCCTGTTCTTCCAAAGACTCCAGCAATCGGATGACATCTTTATTCACTCCCCTGCGCTTTGCCAGAACTAAGGGTGTAGCACCTTGATGATTGCTTAAAAAAAAAAACAAAAAAAAAGAGGTCATCACAGTAGTTGTATTACATTGCTAGTACCTACTTGTGTAGATAAGCCCAATTAAGCCAAAATGAAAACCCAGAGCAGAACCAATGATCAAGCTGAAGCCTGAATTCTTAGTTAGGGAAAAGGAAAAGAGAAGTATAGGCAAAAGAGCGAATAAATGAGAATAAATAAGAAAAAGAGAACATTCTCCCAGAAATTGGCTGGAAAATCTAATTCTATATTCATTTTTATTTAACATTTACATTTTATAAGAAAAAATGTTTATATTCTTTAAAAAGTCTAAAAATTAGCTTGGCGGGCATGGCTCAGTGGTTGAATGTTGACCTATGAACCAGGTCACTGGTTCAATTCCTGGTCAGGACACATGCCCAGATTGCGGGCTTGATCCCCACTGTGGGGCATGCAGGATCAACGATTCTCTGATATCACTGATGTCTCTATCTCTTTCTCACTCTCTCTTCCTCTCTGAAATCAATTTATATATGTATTTTAAGTCTAAGAATTCAAAAAAAAAATCCCAAAAGCAACCAAAATACACTGCTTCGGTTTACCTAGCTATTTACTAGTAACACTGACAATAGGAAGAGCCCGAATAACTGAATCCTGTAGTCAATTCCCACCATATACTATCTTTATAGTAGCAGAACCACTTACTGTCTTATTCATATTTAGAGACATTAAAGTACCAATAAATTAGGGCAACATGTAACTCTGGTCAAGCTCAGCTTTAAAGGTGGCCAGACATCTTTCACACTCAAGAAAGAAAGTATCTCTACAACAAATAAAGAGAACCACTTCTCCAAATGGTTCAGTATAAAAAGGACTCCGAGCCTCACAGAGATTATGAAGCTGGCACAGAACGTTATATGATAGAAGCCAAACAAGTTTTGGAAACAGGTGGTACTAGGTTCAAATTCTAGCTATGTGACCTTTGTCAAGTCATTTAACCTTTCTTGTCACAACTATTTTATCTGTCAAATGAAAATAATACCTACTACATTCCTTTTGAGCTAACTTAAGTAAACAGAGTGCCCAGCCCATAATAGATTTTTCAACCAATTTCAGGTCTTCTTTTTTTTTCTTGCATTACAACGCACAATTAATAGCAGAACCTAGCCACTATTTTCCTAGAAGAATGCATACTGCTTCAGCATAAATCTAAAAGTCAACCCCTTGTCCCCTCATCCCCCTAACAAGACTCCATTGTTCTCAGTGCCCTTCTGAACGTATCCCTACAGCTGATCAATGAGGAAGCAAAACCAAAAGACTCCAAGATTAGCCCACTGGGTGGAGACAAATGGGGAGAAATGACTAGACTTCAAAAACCACAGAGAACTTACCAAATATCAATTTTGAGTCCATTGGAGACTAAGAATTGAATAGTGTCCACATGACCACAGAGATGAAGAGCTGTGTTCCCCTGGTAATCCGTGGCCAGAAGATCAGCCCCAAATTTATGCAGCAGCTGGCAGATGTCCACGTTCCCGCGGGCTGCGGCAAGGTGAAGGCCTGTTCTGCCCCTGCTGTCACGGATGTTGGGGTCAAAACCACTTTCCAGAAGCCGCTTGGAATAGTTAAAGTCTCCGTCAATGCAGGCTTGTAGCAAGGGCACATTAGTCTGAGAAGAGTCGTTTACAAAAACGTAGGACATGGTTCCGATGTGGTGGATGCCTGTGAAGAAATAGGAGGTAAGCCTCAGCAAAGCCAAACTGAATCAGGACAATGAAGCCATTTAGAAAAGCACTTTCTGTTATCCTTCTTGGCCTCCTGCCTCCAGTGAATTACCTCTCCAAACAGAAACTACAACCAAGTTATCAATTACACTTTATTTTCCATTAAAATGTCTCATTTCCTTCATATCTGCTGGGTCAAATTTACAATTAAATTACTATAAAGCTTTATTTTGCCTTTCACCGTGTAAAAAAGATTAAGCTATTTTTAAAGTTAAGCAAGATATAACTGCTTAGATTTAAGTCTAGAAAATGAAGATACATGTAGAAAGATGCCTTTAGAAAACAAAGATACCCATCCTTAGATTTCACTCACACACACACACACACACACACACACACACACACTCCTCAGATTCTTATTTAAAACAAAGTAATTCCTTCATATATTTGCTTCTTATTGTATTTGCAATATTCTATATGGTAAACAGAACTACTACTCAAAAGTTAACTAATTAGCATTAAAAAAAACACAGTAAAATCAATACCCAATAAGTTCCTGCTAACTGTTGTTTATAGTACAAACTTCTAATTTTAATAGAAAGAGAAAAGCTAAGGAAAGCAGCTAACTCAATTTAAAAATTGGAAATGTCATAAATCATTTCAGATTGTCCATCTTTTTTACAGTTTTGAACCTTTTCTCCTGTGTTCTATGGTTATCTGACTTTATCCCTGGCTGGTGTGGTCCATTGGTTGGGCGTTGTCCTATGAACTGGAAGGTTTTGTTGGCTCCATCCCTGGTCAGGCATTTGGGCTCAGACCCCAGAAGGGGGAGTGCAGGAAGCAGCTGATCAATGCTTTGCTCTCACATAGATGTTTCTTTCTCTCCCCCTTCCTCTCTAAATTTTTTTTACAAAGCCCTAGCTGGTATGGATAAGTGGATAGAGCATCAGCCAGCAACTAAAGGGTCCTGGGTTCAATTCCAGTCAAGGATAAATGCCCAGATTGAGTGCTCGATCCCCAATAGGGGACATGCAGGAGGCAGCCTATCAATGATTCTCTCTCAACACTGATGTTTCAATCTCTCTCCTTCTCCTTTCCTCTCTAAAATCAATAATTAATAAATAAATATGTAATTAATAAATATTTTAAAGGCTTAATTAATTAATATCTGACTTTACCAAACTCCCATTGTCTGAAGACTGAGATGAGGAAAAGCAGGTCTGTCCAGGAATAAAGAGGTAGGACAAAGGCAGCAATCCCATCTGTGTCCTCCCTAATATTTCATCCACCTGAGTAGTGCAGCTTCACCAGTCAGTTTGTCTACATCTCTTTCATTGATACTTCCCTACCCCAGTGGTTTCCCTCCCCCACCTTTCTCTTTCTCTCTTTCTCTCTCCATCTCTCTATCTCGGTGTCTCCCTCTTAACCCCCTCGTGGTCTATGTAAGAATAAGTTAAAGCCTGACTAATCTTTATTAAAGAAACTGAAAACAAACCAAAACAAGAAAACACAAACCAAACAAGAAAACCAAAGAGATGACTCCCACTCTAAGGTTACTGAAGCTCAGTCAGAGATGAGCTTGGCTTGTTACTCATCAGCCAGAGACTTTCTTTCTGGAACACGAATGGAAACGGATGCAAGACCAATCTATTCTTGTGCCCAACCTCCCACCTCCAGGAATCAGCGGAGCACGGCTGTGGTTTGATGAGATTCTTGGCTCCGACACCTTTGAGCCGGGTCTCCCAGCAGAGACACAGCCCCTCTAGTCCCTGGCTTGCTTACACTGGAGCTCTGCTGCTGCCACAGGTGCTTTATGCAAAGGGAAAGCATTAACAGATGCTCCGGGCCTGTGCTGAGTCAGGCACTGCCCTAGAGCTTCTTACTGAATTTTATTTAATGTTCCAACAGCTCCATGAAGATTCATTGTACCCAGATTTTAGTAAAGAGTCAATGAAGGATGTTAAGCCAAGAAAATGGCATGATCATTCATTATATTAGTCTTTCATAAAGATTACTTAGTTGGCAATATGGAGGACTTAGATTGGAGGGGATCAAAATTGGAGACAGGGAAATCAATCAATAGGTCGTTGCAGAAAGCCAGACAAGAAATGATGAGAGCCTGATCTAACGCAGTGGCAGAGAGAAGGGGGAATACTGGAGAGGAACATATAAGATAAAATTAGCACAACTTAATGACCCATTGGATATAAAAAGTGAGAAGTTGTTAAAGATAATCCTAAATAAGGGGGAAACCTGCTTATGATTAAGAATTATAGAGACCAAGATAAAATAAACTTCATATTATGACATTATATAATGCTTTTAAAAGAAACTAACCCAAAGAGAATTACTCAATAAAATTGTCAAGAATCTTCTTTTTGAGGATAACTTCCCTCTTTCCCCCTACAGCATTCATTGGATTGGATCATTAAAAAAGACAAATCTATCACAAACTTGGGGGAGGGGGCAGGGAGAGAGAAACAACATAAGTGCTTTTCAAGATGTAATGTGTTTTTGGTTAAATTATGTATGAATAGATGCTGAAAAACAATTCACTTGGTGTTTTTTGTTAGAATTCTTGTGGTTTGCAGACTGGGATTCTTTTGAGTGTTGGCTCAGTTAATAAAAGAAAAGAAAAGAGAAGCTTTTCTGGTTTATGTTTTTGAGAAAGAATAAGAGTGATGTATCTTGTGAGTTCCTTTGTGCCCTTGAGAAACTGCTAGCCTTACCCCAAATTTAATAAGCTCAGTGACAGATAACATTTCTCATGTTGATCACAGAACTGACTCTGTCTTAAAGCAAGGCCACAATAGAAAATATTAGTGCAAGCCTTAAGATGAGATCTTTTTCCAGCGGTCACCTGGCAGCTCTCTGCATTCCTAAGAAGGCTCAACAGGATATCCAGAATGAACCGGAGAGGATCCACAGTAAATAGAAGATTCAGTTATAACAAAGGTGTGGTGTGAAAAAGACCTTGCTGCTCCCTTACAACACAGACAAGCTAGCGCGGCCTGTAGGTATTCCCCAGAGAATCTAGGGGTGATGAGGCTTGTAAAGTACCTGACGGGTAATAAAGCAGTGAAAAGGAAGAACAAACAGGCTCTGTTGCTCACAAATAAGAAAAAATGTCAGAAAGATAAAACAAAAAGAATCAAATCATGTGTCATCAGCAGAGAAAAAACTGCGCTCCCAAAATTAACTCTCTGTCACCAGCATTCCGAATGCCGATTTTTCATGTCAGTGGTGGCTAGCTGGCCTCCTGTCTTCCCACTCTTCTTTTCTTCCCTCTCTTCCAGCTCAGATCCATCTGCGGTCTCCCCCACATGGCTGCTCCACCTTCACGCTTTCGCTGGCGCCAGTCGGGGTCCCTGTGGCACCCGGAGAGAGATTTCGAGAGAGCCGTCTGCCCCCTGTGCTCTTGTTCTTGAGGTTCTGTGCAGAGGGGGCAGTGTGGCCCATAGAAAACCAACATAGCTTTGTTAAGCAAACATTTACTGTGTGCCCGAAATGTGCCAGTGCCATGCTAAGTGGTGGGGTTTAAAGTCCAAATCCCAAATGCCCAGCTCTGGCTGAAATGCAGGTTAACCTTTCACTGGTCATTCATGTTCACTGTCATCAAACCCCTCTGAACTAACCCGGACAGAGAAATAATTAGCGGTGCTCGGTGAAGCTCCGATTACAATAGGTAAGTCAGGTTCTATCATAAAGGCTCTCAGGGCTGGCTGGAAGTGAAGGGGGGGGGGGGGGGGGGCTGACAAACCATATGTGAGTTCTAGTCCCACAACAGTGTCAACAAATAACCTGGCGACTGAGAACACAGGACACATCTGCCCTCCTCAGCCGTTCCCTAGTTCCCTGCGATTCTCTAGGACAGCTTGGACAAGCTTCCTCTCTCAGGGCCACTGCATCGATTTCCTTAAACAAATACTCACTCACCTAAAGCCCAGCATTGTCCTTCCGTGCCCTGGCCCTGGAGCTGAGTCTCTATGACGACAGCCTCTCTCGAATACAAACCTGGCTTTAATTTTCATGTTAAAATGGTGCAGGGTGGGTTCCTCTGAAGACTGCAGGGTTCACGTTATGAGAAGAATAAGTTTTGCTTCTTTTTTTTAAAATATATTTTATTGATTTTGTACAAAGAGGAAGGGAGAGAGATAGTTAGAAACATCGATGAGAGAGAGTCATCGATCAGCTGCCTCTTGCACACCCCTCACTGGGGATATGCCCGCAACCAAGGTACATGCCCTTGACCGGAATCAAACCCGGGACCCTTCAGTCCCCAAGCTGACGCTCTATCCATTGAGCCAAACCGGTTCCAGCAAGTTTTGCTTCTTGTTTGGAGATAGAATTAAGTTATAAAGCCACCCCTGCCCATAATCTTCATGTTCCCTTAATCCACAGGAAGACATGCCTACCCTTTTCTTTTGATCTGACCCGGCCCCATGAGAAAATAAACTTGGTCAAATTACAGACTTATGTGATGGCAAACAATACTGTACAATACATTAGATCTAATTCCTAGAAACCTGCCAAGAAAATGTCCATGACCCCAATTAGATCTTAACCACTAGAAATCTATTCATAGCTTCCTCAAGAAGTTATGGAAGTGAATAAAATCAGGAAGATTGACTAAATTATCATAGATCATATAGCTACAATTCCAATTTTTAACCTTTGAGTTATCTAACTAAAATAAAGACACAATATGTGAGTATTTGAGTTCCTGATGTAAAAAAAAAAAAAAAAAAAAAAAAAAAAAAAAAGGTAGGCCTCTTTCTGAAAGCCTGGTACTAAGTAAATTTAAAAAGGAATTGAGAATACTATCTTTTCAGGATATGCCAGTACTATGAAGAACATCTGAAGAAGGAAGTATATAAGTAGAATCTCCTAAGTTTTACTTCCAAGGCTCAAGAAGAATTACTAGATGTTCAAGAGGAGTAATATTTAGATAGAGCTGGATCCACCATGACAGATACATTTTTACTTTATTTTTAAATTTGTGGAGAATTCACATTTTGTCTTATTTCCAACAGTTTAATCTAATTTAACTGGGTCTAAAATTCTTTATGCAGTAAAGGTGTGAAATGTGTGAATTAAAGTATGCTTCTTTAAGGAAGGCCAGTTCGTTATGTTTAAGTTCATGTAATAATTAAAAGTAGGCTAATCACATATTACTTAGTAGAGTTTCTTAGAAATCAAAGCTTAATAAAAAGGGGGGGAAAGAATGTGTATATCTGCTACTACTATGCAGACAACTGTTTAGCAACATCTGAGATACATAATAGTTAACATTTATTAAATTATTATACTCCAGGTACTATTTAAGTGTTTTTTCTTGTAATCATTAGTATAATCCTCATAAAAATCTGTAAGGTAAGTACTATCATTATCCTCATTTTATGGGTAAAAAAATTAAGTCACTTAGTTTGTTTTTATAAGGTTCTTTTTAATATAATAAATCAGTTTAACAAACCTTTCTATCTAAGATTACATAAGGAGAAACATTAGTTCTAATCCACAAATTCTGAATTAATTCCTTACAATTATTTTACTGAAAATAAACTTCTTTTTAAACTGTGGAAAAACAATATCTGGAAATGTTTCTTACTTTATAGTAGGGGTGTCGAACTCAATCAGAGAAGGGGCCAAAATCTAAAATCCAGCCTAAATCGAGGGCCGAATGGTTTACTGAACAGTCATAAACTGTCATTGTGATGGAAACGCAGCGGAGTGCAGTGATGACAGCGCGTTGCGGGCCACATTGCAAGGCCTGGCGGGACGGATTTGGCCCGCGGGCCTTGTGTTTGACACATGTGCTTTATAGGAAACATCAGTACAGCTCATATATCCTGAATCAACTCTTTGCAATCATCTCACATAAATAGAATTTTTTAAATGTGAAAAAACAATAAAATATTTGGAAATGTTTCCTACTTTACAAGAAGTGACTAAATTCCTGGACTCATTATTTTCAAGTATTTCTTATTCACTGAAGGAGCGAGAAAACACCTAAAATTTTCTTTCTCCATCAGAAAATTTTAAAAAATCAAAAAGGATTTCTGATATGCACTTCCTGCAATATTTATATTGCTTTACTATTCGTTTACATTATTAAAATGTAGTTGCAATTCAAGATTTAAAAATATATTGGCTTAAAATAAATCAAAATTAAATTTTCACAAAGGGAATATTGGTCATCTTGGATATTTTAATTTCACTTTAATACCTTTCAGTATTTTCCAAAATCTTTACTGTGTAATTTTACCATATTTAAAATTCTTAGTAAGAGACTTCTTCCATTGAAAGTTTTGTTTGTAACTTGTCCTATCAAATAAAAAGGGAATATGCTAATTGACCATCATGCCCTCACAAGGATGGCAGCACCCACAGCCAATAAGGAAAGAATATGCTGACTGCCAAAGATGGTGGCGCCCAGTCCCCTCAGCCCTGCTGAGGCAGCAGTCTCATGGCACAGCCCACGCACCTGCCTCCGGAGTCCCCAGTCCTCTTAATCCCCCAGCTGCCCAGGTCCGGCCCAAGACACAGGCAAGCCTTGGATGGCGGCTGCCCAGCCACCCAGGGCCACCCGAGGTTCAGGTAACCAGGGCCAGCCGAGGCTTGCACTGTCGGCAGTGGCAGCAGCGGAGGTGTGATGGGGCGTCACCTTCCCCTGACAGCCAGGTCGCTTCCCGCCCCTGAGGACTCCAGGACTGTGAGAGGGGGCAGGCCGGGCTGAGGGACCCCCCCTCCAGTGTATGAATTGTCATGCACTGGGCCTCTAGTAATTATGTAATAAAGACATTAAATTAAGCAATGGGAGGTCAATCTGCACATAAAATGCATCTTTAAAAGCTTATTTGATTTTTTAAAAGAAAATATGTTTTTTCCCTACAGTAACACTTTATTTATATGGCCTAATGGTGCCACCTTGTGGTCTACCTGGACTTCAAGTGCAACTTGAGCATCTAGTAAAGGTAGGGAGCAAGAAGAGTGCCACGAAAGTTTCTCTAATTTCAGTTACTTATCGTTACAATCCTCACTAATTCTGAATTTGTGAAAATTTAGAGTTGGGATGAAGTTAAATTTTCCTTTTAAAAAGTTTACCAAACAAATTAATGTCCTAAATATGGTTCCAGGCCGATTCCAAAATCTAAACCTCAGTGACCCCACTTCAGCAGATTTCATTTGCACAGATTAAAGTGTTACAAAAATGGCATTCTTCTTATTTGGTTTTACTTAAAAATATAGGAATTACAACTTTTGCAAAGAATTCCTTATTTTCTAAATAGTCCACAAAATGTACACCATGTTTCACCTAAAACAGTTTGAAGGCACACAGGATTGCGGTCGGAGGCGAAACTTAAATATTTCCATGAAAATTCAGAGGTGGAATGGTCAACTAGGATCTTCTCACCCGATCCCCTTATTTTGCAGATAAGGATAACAAGAACCAGAAAGGCTGTAACTTTTTTTTTTTTTTTTTTTTTTTAACCTCACGAGAGGATATGTTTATTGATCTTGAGAGAGAGAGGAAGAGGATTGGAGGAGGGACATGATGTGAGAGACACATTGATGCCCAGAATGGCCCCTGGCTCCGGTGCCCGGGGTTAAAAAAAACACCCAGCGTTTGCCCCGGAATTAACATGCGATGCTGAGAGGCAGGTTGCTGACTCCCCAGATTTTCCAACACAGCGCCCTGCTTCCAGGACAAGTTATATCTATTCTCTCTCTCTCTCTCTCTCTCTCTATATATATATATATATATATGTATGTATGTATGTATATATCTATATATACATATACATACATACATACATACATATGCACGCACGCGGTTGGGGTTGTGTACACGTATATATGTATATGTGTACACAACCCCAACCGGCTGGGGATCGAACCTACAACCCACGTATGTGCCCCTTGGGAGGAATCAAACCCGACTGAGACCCTTCAGCACACGGGCCAATGCTCTAATCACTGAGCAACACCAGCCAGGGTGCAGAGAGACATTTCAATGAAAAAGGTAGTACCACTTGGCGATAGGAAAAGCTGACTGATATTAGGACTAAAAGTGTCACCAAAGTTAAAATGCCTAAATGACCTGTTCTAACAATGTCATGCTAAGGACTTAAAAATATATATCTATATCTATATCTATATCTATATCTATATCTATATCTATATATCCCTAATAGGTTTGGCTCAGTGGATAGAGCGTCCACCTGCAGACTGAAGGATCCCAGGTTCGATTCCAGTCAAAGGCATGTACCTTGGTTGCGGGCATATCCCCAGTGGGGGGTGTGCAAGAGGCAGCCGATCAATGATTCTCTCTCATCACTGATGTTTCTAACTCTCTATCCCTCTCCCTTCCTCTCTGTAAAAAAAAATCAATAAAATATATTTTTTAAAATTATGTGTGTCCCACGTATACAACATTATTAATTTAACATCTGTATACTCACTCTAAAAGTGATCACCCCTGGCCCTAGCTGGTGTGGCTCAGTGGTTGAGCTCGTGGACCTATGAACCAGGAGATCACAGTTCCATTCCGGTGTGGGCTCGATCCCCAGTGCGGGGTGTGCAAGAGGCAGCCGATCAATGATTCTCTCTCATCACTGATGTTTCTATCTCTTTCTCCTTCTCCCTTCCTCTCTGAAATCAATATGCATATATACACATATATGTATGTGTATATGTACCAGCATGTAATATATGCATGTGTGTATACACGCACATACGTATACATACTATACACACGTTATACATATGCTATATGTACATGTACATGTACATGTACATGTACATATACATATACATATACATATACATATACATAGAGAGAGACAGACAGACAGAATAGATATAACTTGCCTGGAAGCAGAGCGCTGTGTTGGAAAATCTGGGGAGTCAGCAACCTGCCTCTCAGCATCGCATGTTAATTACGGGGCAAACGCTGTTTTTTTAACCGGGCACCGGGGCCGGGGGCCCTTCCGGGCATCCACCCGCTCACATCCCAGCGGCCTCTGTCTGGTCCCCCGTGGGCGCCTCCGCGGCTGGAGCGCCCGCGCGGCCCAGGCCCGGACGGAGGCGGCTCGGCTCGGCCCTCCGGTCCCCGCGCCCCCGCGGCCGGCGATCGCAGCCCGACTGCCTCCCGGCCGCCCAGCCTCACCGCCGCGCACACAGGCCGCCCGGCCCCGCGGCCTCCCCGGCCTGACAGCCGCCCGGCCGCCCAGCCCCGCCGCCGGCCCCGGGGACCGGCCCGCTCCCTGCGGCCGCGGCGGAGGCGCGGGGAGCCCGGGCGGCCTCGCCCCGCAGGCCCCGCGGCCAGGCCCGGGCCGTCTAACGCCGGCGCTTCGGGGCCGGCAGGGCAGGGCAGTGGCTGCCGCCCTGGGCGGCCCAGGGTCCCTCCCCAGGTACCTGGGCACCGGCGATCAGAGGTGACAGCGGCGGCGCCCTCCCGGCGGCGATGACGGCGGGCGGAGGGGAGAGGCGGCCACCGAGACGAGGGGAGCCCGTCGGGGCCAGAGCGGCCTCACGCTGCGGCGGCCGCGCGCCCCCTGGCGGCGGAGGGCATGCACGGCGGCTCGGGCGGCTCTCCCATCAGAAACTCATTCAGTCTCTGAATTAAGCCAAGTACCTAAGGCATGGGAGAAGAAGGGGAAGGCGACCTAAAAACGTTTTCTCCCATCTGAGCCTGGGAGCATTTTGCAACTTTCACGTGCTTCCCTAAATATACATCTTACCCTCTCAGCTACATGAAGGCCTCCAAGGGAAGGCAAGGACTGTTGTATGAAGATCCATAGGCATCAATGAACAATTGCTGGCCGCTAGGGAAGTCAGCTCTATAACCCAAATAGATATATATTAGTGTTAGAAACTAAGGACGGAGTGCTCTGACTCTAAAATAGGACCTTGAGTTGTTTTTGTTTGTGTGTGTGTGGTGTTTTGTTTTTTTTTTCAAAAACAGTTTAAAATATTTACATCCCATTTTTTTAGGACTTCCAGAGTAAATGCAACATACATGTGTATAGCCAAAACTAAAAATGGGAGACTGGGGCGGGGGGGGGGCTCATTTACTGAAAACAAGTCCTACTGCCAAGAAGACTTCCCTCTGCACAGTGACTTGCCCACCCATACCACCCTCATGCCCACCCATGCCACCCTCATGCCCACCCATTCAAGGACTGTTACTCAGTCTAACAGTTTGTTCTTGAAAATGTCATGTAATTCTTTAGGATTATTGTCACATTTGAGAAAAGCCTCTATCAAATTTCTTTCATGTAAAAACGATAAGATTTCAGGGCACTCCACATTTTCTTGTGCAGTGAGTGGCTAATCACAAATATTCTTCTTCTAACTGATGACACTTATAAATCAATTTGTCATGGGTGTCCTTGCAATGGTATGTTACGTCTATAATATTTCCATTGATGCCTGTTAATTATGTCAAACCCGCCAAGAATTTCAGTCTTTTCCCAAAGCGTTCACACAATTCACTCTTCTTCATTAACTAGTCTATTAAACAATCGGAGAGTCTAATTCACTGCTTCTGTTTAAACGTATCTCTCCTCTCCTCCTTCATGAAGTACTGTTTTTGTTTGATTTGAAAAATGGAGGGACTATGCAGACAGCTTTTTTCCCCCTTGATGAGATTAAGGGAATGAATTGCATGCTGCACAGAGTTTGTGCCACCTTCATGTCACCACACCTGAGGACGTTGGCGCGATGGGATGGGCGTGAGGACTATTTACGGAAGCCGCTCCCACACCCCACAATAAGTTAGCACCTAGTGGGAGCGACCACGAACCACAGAATCTTATCCCATGAACGGCAAACCAAAGTATCCCCAACTGCATTTCTGCTCAGCCAGAGCCCCACGCTACTCAACCAGAGAAGAGGAGAGTCTCTGAGAAGTCTGAGTGAAGAGACAGCCACCTTCATCAACTGCAGTAAAAACATTTTTTTATGGAGGAAAAGAGAAGAGATGCTATGCTAGGAAGGTAAAGAATATTCCAGCTCCGGCCGGTTTGGCTCAGTGGCTAGAGCATCGGCCTGAGGACTGAAGGGTCCCAGGTTCGATTCCAGCCAAGGGCACATGGCCGGGTTGTGGGCTTGATCCCCAATAGGGTCGTGCAGGAGGCGGCCGATGGGTGATTCTCTCTCATCATTGATGTTTCTATCTCTCTCTCCCTCTCCCTTCCTCTTTGAAATCAATAAAGAAATATACTTTTTTTTTTTTAAGGGTATTCCAAAATATGGGACCTAATTTAAATGGAAGAGCAGCAATGCCTCTGAGGAAGGAATACACCTGAGATGCAAAGGATGAGGAGCTAATTATGCAATGGACAAGGGAAATGGTCCAGACAGAGGGGCAAGCTGTGTGGCCTGGGAAAGGGTGAGGTCAGAGGGTCAGTGCAGCGAAGCTGTATCCCGGCCATTAAATGCTTAGCACTTACCACAGTGAACGGCACACAGTAGGTAGTCAGTAGTTCTCAGCTCTGGCAGCACATTCCAAACAACACAGGAGCCTAAAAACACCAACACCCAGGCCCTGGTCAAGACCAAGTCAGATTGTTTGAAAGTACCATACAGCCCCGTATCTGTTTTTTTCAAAGCTTCTCGGGGAATTCTGGTGCACAGCCAGGGTTCAGGATCACTCTATTAGATACAAGTAAATGAGTGGATGCATGGATGACAGACAGCATTTGCTTGGGGTAGGAAGTTCTTTGAAGAGGTCTTCTTGTGCGTAAGGAGAAGAAGGAGTTTGGCTATATTGGATTATATTTTCCGAAAATGCAGAAAAGACTTTCAAAAACATAATGAAATGCTCATCGGAAGGGACTCAGAATGATCTAGCAGTCATCTCAGTGTAACCAGCTGTCACTGCATAAAAGACCTGTGTTGGAATGGGGAGGTGTTTCTTAAAAAGATACCGTCTGTGCAAAGGAAGAGGCACTTCCTGTTGTTAAGCTCTAGTTACAGCCCGGAAGGCATCGTGGGTTTTTGGTAGTGCTAACGAGTGACCATCAGAGGGAGCCATGCTCTGGAAAGTGTCTCCCACGGGTGCCCCATCTCCCTCAGAACTCGTGTGAATCCGGGGTTTCTTAAGGCGGTGGGATCTCAAGGCAGAACCATTCAGTGAGTACGTCTCAGAGTATGAGGCAAGTGGCATATATTTATCTGCACCAGAGTTAGATTCATTTTAGTTCTCCAACAGTTTAAACAATTAAACCACTGAGGACAGTGGGTGGGGGTTGCGGGGGAGGATGAAGTGTGTGTGTGTGTGTGTGTGTGTGTGTGTGCCAGCAATGTATTTGCAAAACTAAGGAGAAACTTTGAAGGCTTAGACTTAGAGAATCTTATTTTCCTCCAGCAACCAGCACAACTAGGAATTAAGTATTCAAGCAAACACCTCCTCTCCCTTTGTTAATGAACTTGGAAATAGGATCTTCTTGTTTTCTTCCCTAACCTAGTGCTGTCCAGGGGCTGGGCCGGATCTGTTTCCCTTCTGCACAGGAGGTGGATGGATAGCCTAGTGCCGTGGTCGGCGAGCCACATGCGGCTCTTTGGCCCCTTGAGTGTGGCTCTTCCACAAAATACCACGGTCTGGGCGAGTCTATTTTGAAGAAGTGGCGTTAGAAGAAGTTTAAGTTGGAAACATTTGGCTCTCCAAAGACATTTCAATCGTTGTGCTGTTGTTATTTGGCTCTGTTGACTAAGGAGTTTGCCGACCCCTGGCTTAGTGCCTCCTGGAAGCATGATGCTCCACCATGGTGCAGGCTGGGCTGAGGGGACCCCCACACCCCTCCGTCCACCAGTTATTGTGGAGCAAAGCCTGGAAATCAGCTCTCTAGTTGACTGTGTTTTGACTAGAACTTGTCCCCAAGCGGTTGCCTTTCACAACGTTTATGTTGAATAACTGCCATTTCGCTCCTTTTACTTGTCATTTTTGTTCTGCTGAAATCAATGTCCGCCCTTCCCTTGTCTGGGACCCAGAAACAGCCGAATTGCATCATGTCTTCCTCAGCACTCTAGACCCAGTTCCAAAGGATTGGGGCGCCCCAGGAATTCGGCAGGGCCCAGCTCCCGGCGGGAATCAGAGCACGCACGTGCACAGCAAAGCCAGCGCACACGTGCCATTTTCAGCCTGCTGCTCCGGAGTCTCCACCCCAGACAAGGGCTGCATCGCAGTGTGTGCTCATGGGGACAGATGGAAATCCCATTAGGAAGCACAGCCAGCTCTGTGTTCCCACATTTTTCAGGAGAGAAACCACATTCGGCGCAGGAACAGTGCAAAAGCCCTAGTGTCGGTGGCTCTAAATCAACTGAATGTCTCACCTCTTCCAAGGTATTACACAAGCAAAGCCCATAGGGTGAGCTGAAGACTTGCCCTACAAAGAAGGACCCGGGCTAGGGAGGGCTAGACCAAAGACCCAACTTCACCATGTACTTTTCCTAAAGCTCTAATTTTTCTTGCCTGGAAAATCATTATATAAATGACTTCTTAACAACAATAACAAAGAATACAAAAAATAACTATTATAAAGTAACATATGCCAAGTGCAATTAAACCTCAATAAAATGTGTGATATACTATAATGCTTTAACAATAAAGATTTTAAAAATAATCCTATATAATAAAGAGGTAATATGCAAATTAACCCTCACACCCTCACAAGATGGCTGCCTGTGACCAGGCTCGAAGGGGGGTTGGTGAGGGACAACCAAACTACTGAACTGCTGCATGGGACGACCACGTCAGCAGGTGGGGGCAGTTAGGGGCAACCAGGTCAGCAGAGGGGGGCGACCAGGCTGGCGGGGGCAGAAGTTAGGGGTGATCAGGCAGGCAGGCAGGTGAGCAGTTAGGAGCCAGTAGTCCTGGATTGTGAGAGGGATGTCCAATTGCCGGTTTAGGCCTGACATCCTCCTATTTGGTTTTCCACACATTAAGATCACTTAGCTCTCCTCAAATTTACTTTGAGGGTGAAATTAAGGCGATTTCTAACTTAGATATTCCACATAAAACTTCCTCCCCCATCATTCATGTGGGGATGTGTGCAAGCCATACGCTTACTGCCTACTGAGCCAGTGTTGGCGGGCATGTCCGATCCTCAGACAAAGCCTGCATGTGCCTCCTGCCACAGTACCCCGTGGGTGGGCCTCACCACAGTTCAGTTCAATCAGCTCTGCCCTTTATTCTCATTGCGATTCTTGTGACATTTTCAAACTCAAGGGTGTTTGTCCAAGGGCCGAGAGCTCGTGCCAGTTTATTTTAGGAGCACGAGCAGCAGGAGAAACGAAGATGCATGTCTGGAAGATGGGAGAGAAGGGATACTGGTGCATGGAAATGCAGCCGGAGAAAGTCTGGCTGGCTGGGGACCATTTCGCAGGGATAACGAGAAGCGAATCTACAGACGTAAGGATAGACGGGTCATTTCCCAAGCCGTGCCACCCCCCTTAGAAGTGACTTGAAGGATTTCAAGAGTTGTCTACCTTTTTATTATTATTATTATTTTAATTTTTTGTTGTTAAATTATTTTCCCACTGAGGATATTTTCCCATTGATAT